GGGGGCGCTCAATTGATAAGAGTTAAATTATTCAGAGAGTCTTGTGCCATTGTACATCATAAATTATTTTTAATGAGCTTCAATTTTGGAAACCTTCTTTCAGCACTGGTGACTGGCACACAAAGTGTCAAAAATAATGTCAGTAGTACTGTACACCCACCAGAAAAACTTGTTAATAATGATATTCCTTATAAATAGTTTGCAAGATCTTTAACATAATTTGGTTTTGAAATTTCATTTGTGAAACAAATGTGCAAAGACAGTAATGTAGATGACAAGTTTTCTGTAACATCTGCAGGGTATTTTTATTTTCAGTTTTTCTGTTTTTCTGCTGCAATTTTGTTCCAAGTTTTTCTGCTTCTTTGTAAATTTCATCATCATAACTTGTGGCTGAATTACTGTCCAAAATGCCACTGTGTGTGTCAGTCCAACAAATCATCGCTCCAACTAGTTAATGACAATTTCTAGCCATTCATAGTGTACATTAAGTTTGTAACCTTGTTTGCCATCTGTGAGTCATTGATTCTCGCCAAGTTCGCCAAAACGTAGTTTCATTTTCCTCACTTGTTTATTGCTAAATTTCACTTCTACTTTCCAGACTTTGAATAACTCTATTGCATTAATTTTACATTCTTGCTACTGGTTAAGCAGTATATAGAAAGTACTGTAATGCTATGGGGAAAACAGTGAACTTTTGATCAAAAAACTCGTATTGCTGGGCCCTCCTAATGAAAACATGGATAAATATTGTCTCTACATACATAGTAAATTACTTCAACTAACATATTGTGTAGTTAGAAATGAATGAATGAATTGTGTTTCGGGCCATGGCCTGATTCAGACTTGTCATAACATTGTCAAAATATTGTCAAAACTAATTGTTTCTTTATCCATATTGACCAATCTCATAAACTAATTTTTTATAAAACTAAATTAATAAAGATATTTTTTTCTTGATGAAATGTGTTCTGAAGAAACATTGTCAAAAAAGGTCATGTTCAATTTTTGAAATATATGAGTATTTTTGTGTCAAAGGTAGGAATTTTTTAAATTTTTAACAATTATTTTCTCAGCTTCATTCACTTCCAACATTTTGTTAGAAAATGTAATTTTAGGTAAAGCTTGCAAAATATTAAAATACCCTAATCTTTTAGCTATTAAGAATTTGTTCTATGATGAAAAATTAGATCTTTTATTGATACCTCTTTAGGGTGATGAAATTGACATAGGAAATATTTATTTTCATGTAAAATTAGTTCTCTTTTTGCCTATATCTTTCACTATGGATAATATTTTTGACCAATTAATGCTATGACCAAATAAAACAAATTTTTTTTCAGCAAACAAGTAACAGAACTTCTAATGTCCCAATCATGGGATCATTCGCACAAGATTTAAATTAAGAGCAGCACAATGTATTTTCAACTTCATGTCATTTTTTTCTGAACACCATTGTAAATTCCACTCAGAACTGCTGTGCCATTGTATTCTTGACCTCTACATTTTGGTATACCAAAGCCATGCTCAAATTGCAATGTCAAATCAATTTTATGCTCTCGACATATCAAAATGCAATCTTTGTGCACTGATTGATCTTCGATTTTCTTAAACCCTACGAAACATTTGTTAGTTTTTCTGGTAATCGGTTTGCTGGATTCATTTTTCTTGATGGTTACATATTGTAAATATGACTTAATTGGTCAGCATTTAATACATCTTGCACTGTGTCCATTATAAAAGAAAAAAAATATTCTAGAATAGAAAATCTGATTAGGAAGGGAAATATCAGAGGATTTAATTTTGCCAGGGTTAAATGAATATTTAAATCAGTTTTGCCAAATAAAGAAAGGTAAACAAAACTCTAGGCCCTTTTTGGGGGAGGGGGGCATGACCCCCCTGGATCCACCAGTGTTTCTGTCCATTGTAAATCCATCCTTCATAACAGTGTGTCCAGCAGTTCGGTTAATCTAGTTTTTGTAAATATACAGCAAACAAAAATTGATAAAGCAGTGGGACACCCAAGGGTCGGGAGAGGTGGCATGATGGTTACCACAACCCCAGAAGCTAATGATACATAATAAAAATATAACTTTTACCTATATCCTCTACTAACAAAAGCCATTCTGTATATCAATTGTTTATGATATAAATATTAACTACAAGAAATTAAAAAAAATCAATGACAACAAATAAAAATACATTTTATAATCAGCATAACTGAAAATTTCTTTATAAGGAAACTGCAAATTCGGCTGGACACTATCTTTCCTTCCACCACCAAGAAGAATCCCGAGTGTGCCTTTGGATAAAGTAGTTAAATATTTTATTAATTTTTTTTCTTTAGTTTTTAGAAGAATGTTCTGTGGTGCTGTAAATATGCATTTATATGTATGAATTTTTCTTTTTTCAGATTTTAACACTGGCAAGCAATGAAAGGATTGCTCTCACCTCAGCAATGCGTCTCTTGTTTGAAATATCAAATTTGAGAACAGCAACTCCAGCAACTGTGTCTCGTGCTGGAATATTATACATAAATCCACAGGATTTAGGTTGGAATCCTTATGTCAGCACATGGCTTGAGAGTCGTAAAAATTCATCTGAAAAGTCTAATTTAATTGCATTATTTGACAAGTATATACCATCTTGTATAGAATGCATGAGAATTCGATTCAAGAAAATTACTCCCATCCCTGAAATTTCACATATTCAAATGTTGTGTCATCTGTTGGAATGCCTTTTAGTCCCTGCAAATATTTCAGCTGGTACATGCTTTTTTTCTCTTTTGTTCACATTGTTTTTTTCCTTTATGACAAAAGTGTATAAAACAAATATAAAATTTACTTTTCTAGAGTGTCCAAAGGAATGGATAGAAATATATTTTGTATTTGCTTGTGTTTGGGCATTTGGAGCATCAATGTTTCAAGATGGAGTAAGTTTAAAATAAAATGTTGTACTGCTTTAATCTGTTATTTCATCCAAAGTATATTGTTTTAAATTTTTGTATAGGGTGTAGATTATCGAGTGGAATTTACAAAGTGGTGGATAAATGAATTTAAATATGTAAAATTTCCTAGTCAAGGTACTGTCTTCGATTATTTCATTGATCCAGAGACAAAAGAATTTACACATTGGTCTGAAAAATGTCCAAGATTTAATTTGGAATCAGATATGCCCTTGCAGGTAACTTTTAAAAATATGTACTCAATATTCATTCTTATGGAATATAAGACAAATAGTCAACTATGAAATGCTTCTCACATTTCTATAGGCTGTTTTGGTTCACACACCTGAATCAATACGAATACGATATTTTTTGGATATGCTGATTGAAAATAATCGTCCAGTGATGCTTGTTGGAAGTGCAGGTGTGGGAAAGACAGTTCTTGTAAATGACAAACTCAGTGCTCTACCAGAACATTATGCAGTGACTAATATACCTTTCAATTTTTACACTACATCAGGTAAAATTTCAGCATAGTTTTTGTGGTATTGGGAGAAGTGATTTTAATTATTTTAATAAGTTTCATTCTTGTTCTCTATTGAATTATATTACATACATGTTATTTGGATATCTAGAGTTATTTAATTTTATTACTTTAATTATATTACATCATATAATCTGGATATCGTAAAGTCTGGTTGCTCAATTCAAAAATTTTCTTAATGTACTGGAAACTTACCTTGTTTTTTATAATTATTGCCAAAGGTAACAGTAATTTTATTACCACTGTTTGATTATCCATTTTGTTATAAAATAACCTCTTTTAATTAAATAGTCAAGGTTTTTTTTTCTTTCAAAAAAATTCAAAATTGTTTCAGAAATGTTACAGAAAATATTGGAAAAACCTTTAGAGAAGAAAGCTGGTCGGAATTATGGACCACCTGGTAACAAATCTCTAATTTACTTTCTTGATGACATGAATATGCCAGAGGTAGGTGCCAAAGAAATTTGACGTTAAGTGTGCCAAGTTACTGGTTGTTGAGAACGTTAATTTTCTTTGTAGGTGGACTGTTATGGTACTGTTCAACCGCATACATTAATTCGTCAACATCTTGACTACAAGCATTGGTATGACCGTACCAAATTGACCCTGAAGGATATCCATAATTGCCAATATGTTGCTTGTATGAATCCTACTGCTGGAAGCTTCACAATAAACCCTCGCCTTCAAAGACATTTTTGTGTCTTTGCTCTAAGGTAATGTTTTGTTACTCTCTTTTCCCTTTTTTAAAATGTATGGTTGGGTCTACCTCAACATTTTGCCCAATTCCTTAGCTGGCTTTTAACTAGTGTCAATTAACACCTTCCTGGGGCCAGAGCACTGACCAGGGCACTGTGCCACTCAGCTGGCTCAAGCCTATCTCAGACCATCTGAACTCCCAGCAAGGTATACTTCCAAGTTAGCTATTAGTCTCATCTCACTTAGAATCTTTCATAGTGCCTAGGGTAGCATGGGCCCATCATCTCTGTGCTTGCACTTTTTTCAGGAAAAGGGTGATACTTCTTGATAGTGCCACTGCCGTTATCCACAGGCCTATATTGTAGTATTAAATGTCTTTGTCATTACTCCGTCAGGCTAAGGGGTAAAGAAAGGTTAAGATTTTAGGAATGATATAAATCTAAATTATACTAAAATATTCTTTCATAATGTAACTAATCCAAGATCTCTCATTCTTCAATGACTGCACATCAATTTGGCATTCATCAAACAAAGAAGAAACACAATCTTCAACAAAACTAAATGCCACTTTCTCTTCAAATAATGAAAGGAATGCAAGTGAAATCTAAATGAATTCTCATACTCAAACTGATTATCATATTTTTCAAGACTTGTGACAAAGCCCAACAATAACCCTTAAATTAAAAAAATATAAGCACTTGCATAGTTCATTACAATCAGACCAATATTAACAGTCACAGTAAACCTCTGTGCCTTAAGGTCTCTCAGTCTGTTGTTCACTGGATGCCTACTGGACTTCATGACATACAAGTGCTTATGGCCCTGTGTACAGCTCCACCATGTATGGCCCTGTGAATGGGAGTGCCTTCCAACCCACAGCCACTCTTGAACACACCTTACCTTTACATGGGAATTGAAGACACAGCTTTGATGTAACACATACTTTGGACCACCTGTCCTAAGCCCCCTGCCTCAGGCCAAGAAGGTTATGTTTAATGTCATCACTAATGTTTTTAATAAATTGTTTCTAAAGAAAATTATATAAATGATTAATAAGAGTTGTCTACTATGCTGTTGCAGTTTCCCTGGAAATGACGCCCTGAACACAATATATCATTCTATATTATATCAACATCTTACAAATCCAGAGTATCGTTTCCTTCCTGGTATTGTGAAACTTTCAGCAAATATAGTTTCAGCTTCCCTTTTGTTTCACAATAAAGTTACTCACATATTTATGCCAACGGCAATAAAATTTCATTACATTTTCAATTTGAGGGATTTGTCAAATGTTTTTCAGGTATGATTTTGTTATCTGTAATTTTAGCTTAAAATTTAGTGAGTGTTTCAAAATTGTATTTTTGTCCTAAAATTGATTTTTTTAAGGGAATACTGTTTAGTCAAGGTGAATGTTTGACTGCACCAACTGACTTGATACGTCTGTGGATGCATGAAACACAAAGAGTATATGGAGATAAGTTAGTGGATGAAAAAGATATTGAAGCTTTTTTCAAAATTCAGGCAGATATACTTAAGAAGAGTTTTGAAGTGAGTTATTTTATTTTAGAATGTTTATTCATATTTTGCTAGTATGTTTCTAATTTTCATTATTGTAGGAAATAGATGAAAGCATTGTGATGGAAAAACCAAACTTATATTGTCACTTTGCTCAAGGCATTGGAGAGCCAAAATATATGCCAATTAAAGACTGGAAGACACTTACCACTCTGTTGTCAGATGCTCTTGTCAGTTACAATGACATTGTTGCAGCAATGAATCTTGTTCTTTTTGAAGATGCAATGATGCATGTATGTAGGTAAGCATTAATTGCCTATTGCATTAAATTACTCTGAGATGATATTTAGAGCAGTTATTTACACATTTATGTTCATTGAAACAAGTATTCATGATTATTTTCACTTGCAGTTTGTAAATTTTATGTGTCATTATTACATCAGTTTTGAAATTTCAGTTCTAGAAATAATAAGGATGTTGGAGCAGCAAAAGGCTGTCTGGTTCATAAAATTAATTTCCTCTTTATATTTTAGGATAAATAGAGTTCTAGAAACACCTAGGGGAAGTGCTCTCCTTGTAGGAGTTGGAGGATCAGGTAAACAGTCTTTGTCACGACTTGCTGCTTTTATTTCGAGTTTGGAGGTTATCCAGATACAACTTCGCAAGGGATATGGTATATCTGACTTGAAGGTATGTTTAATCACAACTTTTCCACATAGTTTCCATGTTCATGACATATTTGTAGCCTAACTGAGATTTGAATGTATGGTCTAAAGACAATGTATTCTTTGTATTGTTTACTTTGTAGATGGAATTTTCTGCACTTTACTTGAAATCAGGTTTGAAAAATGTAGGAATCATGTTTCTAATGACTGATGCTCAAGTTGCTAGTGAGCATTTTCTTGTTCTGATAAATGACATGTTGGCATCAGGAGAGATCCCAGAATTATTCTCAGATGATGAAATGGAAAATATCATTGCTGGTGTTAGGAATGAGGTAATCAAATGTTAACAAGAATACCTTAGATGTAATTGCCATTACTTAATTTATTTTTAATTGAAGAAAACATTTAAAATTTACATTTGAAGTATATTATGCTACTTTCCTTAATGAGCAAATTGTTGACTTTATGTGTGTGGTATTAGGTAAAAGGTGCAGGCATTGCTGATACACGAGAAAACTGTTGGAAATTTTTTATAGACAGAGTACGACGGCAATTAAAAGTGGTCTTGTGTTTTTCACCTGTTGGTTCAACTCTGCGTGTTCGATCTCGAAAATTCCCAGCTATAATTAATAGCACTGTTGTAAATTGGTTTCATGAATGGCCTCAAGAAGCTTTAATTTCTGTAGCAAAAAGTTTTCTGGAGAAAATTGATGTTTTACCTGTGAGTTGGTTGTTAAATATATTTTAAGTTTATTTCAATTTTAAATTTATTATTAACAAAATTAACAAAATAAACACACTAATATAATATTACAGTAGACTCTTTTTAATTTAGACTCAAAGGTGAATTTGTAAATACTTGAAATATCCACAATTCATTAAATAATAAATTATCTAAAATTGAACAGATACGTTTTCTACAAATTTATTCAACGAGAATGATGGTTTTGAGGCTGAGATACAACGAACCCTCACAAGTTTCCAATATGATTGATTGTGTGTTGGAATCCCATCCTGGGCATGAATATTCATGCCTTGCATGTCTTGCAGAGGGCTTCATATCCTACAGACTCTGGAATTAAGGAGTTTATGAGTGTTGTCATCATAATAGTCATATTTTACTGATGTTCCTTTAATCTCCTGAAGTGCTTAAATTACTTCCTTTTGAAGCAATGCTGTAATTATTTCCATGCTTCAATACTATGATTGAAAAAATGTCAAATATTGTATGACTGTTTTTATAAAGCTTTATCATTTCTTCATTAGAATCATATCACTTATCCTTGAAGTTTTAGGTATTTTTGAAACTGTTAATTAAAAAATAGATGACAACTTTTAGAGGATTGTGGAGCATGGTGACATGCAATTATTAGAGCTATAACATTTTCTTTTCAAACTAGAATTCATGTATAAAGCCCAAACTAATATTTTTGAACATTCAAATTAGATATCAACTTTTAACAAAATATTTCAAGAAAAACAAATGATGTTTTGGATTATACAATAAGTCAAGTCACCTAATATTGAATTAAGTTGAATAATGATATCGACCGAAATATTGTTGTGTTTGTTAAATTTTCTAACATTGGACTTTTATTCATAGGAATCTCTTTATGACCCTGTTGCCGGATTTATGGCCTTTGTTCATACTTCAGTCAATAATATGTCACGAGTCTACCTGCAAACAGAGCGTCGTTATAATTATACAACACCTAAATCTTATTTGGAGCAAATCAGTTTGTACACCAAGTTGTTAAATCAAAAGACTACTGAGTTGCATGGGAAAGTAGAAAGATTGGAGAATGGACTGGAGAAACTGAAAAGCACGGCAGAACAGGTATACTAACTTTTGATCTAGAAATTCACTTATTTTTTTTATTATAAAAGGCCACTTGGATTTTAACTTCAACATTTTTAATATGAACTCCGATGTTCAATTACATTGTTTCTTCTTTTTAATTTTAGATTCAGTTTTGAGTAGTTATGAATTTGTGGTCAATTTTAAGGTACATACTATGAACAACATCATCATCATCATTTATAATTGTTTTTAGGTCTTTTATTTCCCTTATTTCCTAAATTGTTGCTGGGCTTCTTTTCCTTTCTTCAATCAGCTGGATTTCCTTGTACCTCTAGGCAAATTAATGCTACGTGAGTTTTTTGGAGCAGAGAGCATTCTAACTCTTCTTGTCAAAGTTATAAGAACTAGAATTCATGTGACACATGTAATGTATTGAGAACAAAGTCTTTGTGGACATTTGGCTCAGATGACAAAGAATTTTATGAAAATTGTTTTTCTTTTAAAAGGTTTAAGAAGCACTTGTTGCATATGACTAACACATATTTGTATAACAATTTGATAAACAGGATGTTTCAAAAGGTGTTGGTGTTTAGTTTTAAATTCAAAACATGCTTTGGATTTTTGGAATTTTGTGATATTCTTTAACATGATTAATACCTTGTATAGTCTCAATTGTATAGATTTTCATTAGACCATCTCCTTCATGCTCATCTAGATAGCTATGTAAAATTCAGTAGCTGTCTGAAGGACACTTCTAGTGGCTGGCTGCTCTGATCGGTAGTTTTTCTTGGTTTCTCCGATCAACACTTGGTCAATGCCAGAGCGCTACCCTAACAAACAGGCATATGCAATCTTTCCTTCATCTTCCTTGTCCTATCCTTGCCCCTTACTTATAAATACTTATAATTTCAAGCACTACACTACCACATATGCTGGGAGACCAGTTTGGAGTTTAGAACTTGGGGTGGTGCCCCACTGGTGGGAAATATTTGGTTGGAGGAAACCCCATTAGCCGAAGGTTGGTCAGTGCCAGATATCACCATTCAGTTGGGGAAGATCACCTCCGCCTCTTGAGGAAAAACATATGCACTACAATTACAGGACTAATAATCTTAGTAGTGCCTGTAATCACTAATTAATTAACTAATTGCATTACACACTACTATTAATATATTTATTTATTAATTATATATAAATTATAAATACAATATATTAATTAATTATCTACATTTATGTCAACATCACGTTACATCTTAAAACAAATGCCTCAGCATAGACCCCTGATGATTTTGTTGAGATTTCTGGCTTTGAATTTATGGCCATTGTTCTCCAAAAAATGCATGTCTATAGATAATAAATTATTGTGGAAGTGAATAATTTATTTATTTATTTATTTATTCATCTATCCATCTATCTACATGTCTGTCTTCATCTGTCAGTCTTCTGCCTGTCTGTCTATCTAATGAGTTACTTATTTACATAGCCAAGACTTGATAAGTTGCTGCCGTCATACAAAAGTATCATGCATTAATAAAACAGACATATAAATATAGACAGTACAATTATATAAGAAAAGTACAAAATATATTAATATGTCAAAATACGTACACATACTTTCATAATGACAATTATAGATTCACATTCCTAATGTAATTTATTTTGTCTATAGAACACATTGATACGTTTTTGGCATTGTGTAAAACAAAGATGTATAATAAAAATTCAAAAAAGTACAGAACACATTAATACACAATACAAATTTATTCATAATGATACATATAGACACTTCCTAAGAAATAATTATCCTAGAATTACACATTATTCAAATATTATTTTCAATTTAAGCTGTGTAATTGTTACTTAATTTCAGTTAATTTAGGTCCTTGATAGCACGTGTAGCATTATATTTCAAATACCTAAATTGTCCTTTTGTAAATATACCCACATATTTAAAGAACATAATATGTTGTTTTCATAAATAAAATTAATTTACTTTTGTTTAGGTTGATGACTTGAAAGCAAAACTTGCTATTCAAGAAGTGGAATTAAAACAGAAAAATGATGCAGCAGATGCATTAATTGAAGTAGTGCAAATAGAAACAGAAAAAGTTTGCAAAGAAAAAACTGTTGGTAAGATAATGACATATAATCAGAACTTGTTTTGGACTTTGTTTTGTCAATTATGCAGAAAATAACTTCTGAAACAGAGGAAATTAGTTCTTCAAAACAAAATATCTTGTAGAGTTTAGAAGAACCCTGTATTCATTTATTACTTTGATAAATACAAGACAAAATATTAGTAAAAGTTATTTGTATTTAATCAGTCAGATTCTAGCATCTTTAAACAGTTATGAAAAATGCAGACAAGTTTTTAATATAATGTGGTAAAGTAGTTTAAAATACTGTTCAAGAATTTCATTTTTTTGTGTGTGTGCCTGAGTGCCATTGTGTACACGTGCGTGCTTACAGGGGTGGTGTGTCTGTAGTGTGCATGTGTGAGGGAGGGTACAGCTGGGCATATTTGAGTGCATGTAAGTATGTGTTTGAGAGGGATTGTGGGTACATGGATGAATGTGGAATGTGGTTGCATATGTGGTTGTGGCTGATCCAGTCACTTCGAGTTTGCTGATCCAGTGCTTTGCTGATCCAGTCACATAATGAATAGGATTACTACCTTGCATGTTATAAGAACGGATAACAGCATGCATAAATATGTGTAGCCTCTTTTTAATAAATAGTTTTCACTAAATGTACTGATTTATTAATAAGAAACCAAAGTTCTAAAGTATTCCTCTTGGGTGTCCAGAAGGTGCGACAGCTGGGTCAACTTGCTGCAGCCCCGATTTAATTGGAGCCCCAAATTTCTTTTTCATTCAAAGGAAAAGAAAAATATATTTATCTTTAAACCAAATTTAACACTACAAGTTATTTCTGATGTATGGAGAAATGAATTCTGTTTATGAATTGGGGAAGCAGGGATTTTTTGGTTTGAAAAAATGATCAACTACCCCAGGCCCCTGCTTTTCTCTGGCCATCCTCAGTATTCCTAGTTGAGTAAAGAGACACCTGTAGGAATTACAGGATGGCAGTTACTTATTATTTGTACAATTTTCTTTTGTAATGCAACAGTTATTTACTAGCATTAACATCTTTCTCCACATTTGTGAAACCTTAATTTATCTCTGATGATTTCATTTGTTAGGTTATATTAATCAATAATCTTAGATTAAAATTTAATTGTAAATGTAATTTCTTAAATTGCAGCTGATGAAGAAGAAAAAAAAGTGAGCGTTATTGCAGAAGAAGTAAGTAAAAAGCAAAGAGACTGTGAAGAAGATCTTCGGAAAGCAGAACCTGCTCTTCTTGCTGCACAAGAAGCTCTCAACACTCTTAATAAAGTAAATGTTCTGAATAGAGTAGGGTTGCAGAATATATAACAGTAAGGCAGCAAGTTTTGTAATGACTGGTACTATTTCTCACATCCTAATTTATATTTCTTTCTGAACCTCCACATTCTTTCAATTAGTCCTCTTCTATTTATTACTTCTTCAACACTGTCTTTTTACCATTTCTTCAATCTTCATATTTTTTTCTTAGTTCATTTGTAAACTCTTATAGGTGAATGGTTGTCAGTCATCAATTGTAGACTTCCAAATCATCATAACCATTTTGATTCAATTGTATTAATTACAACAGTGCTAATATCCATTTATTTCTGCATTAAATGTTTGGTTTTTGATTGTGAATTGTCTGTCTTAATCACCTATTCTAGTAATCTATTTGCATATATCAAATTCTTGGCTATTTTTTAAAGTTCTGTTTTCTTAAATATCAATTGTTTCAATAATATTTCTTGTTTTTACTATTTTATTAACTATTGTTATTTAAATAGTTTTAATGTTTAGTAGCTTATTCCTCAATGTTACAAATACTATTAGAAAATAGCAATGGTAAATGCTTTTAATATCAATCTGAATTAAGAGCAAACACTCTTATGTGTATTATGTTCACATGTTTGCTTGTGAATTTATTTTACAAAGCATCACAGAGTCAGATCGATGTTTTTAAGATATTTTTGGGTATGTGAATAATATTGTTATCATGTTTATTAGATTGAAGCTCTCCATTTGTTATCTCTTAAAAAATGTTTATTCATTGATATCACTAAGCTTTTTTTTAACAAATGAAAATCATAAAGAAATTTCAGATCTTCTGAATCTGTATTTTTGAATGCAGGATTCCAAGCTATAAAACTGTTTTGATCAGGTAATCTGTGCCTTTTATTTCCTCCAAAAATTATTTCTTTATCACCTGGTACAAAGTTGTTTAACTCTTGGATCTATTCCTTTCGTTATATCTCTTAGTAAATGCTCTATACAGTCAAATGCTGCAGTTGGGATCATTTATACTTCATCAAAGACAAAATCATATTCTTTAAGTAAATAATTAACTCAAGAAAACTTAGACTGTAGAATTATATTACTTACATCAGCCATGTATGTGAAAACAAATTACACCAAGAGACAATACCGTATTGTTTACATCTTTATACTATTAGGTTTTATTAAAAGTTAATTTTTTAAAACAGTAAAATGTTTAATATTTCCTGAGATTTTGTGTTGATAATGTTTCAAATGTGCCATGTTGCAACCTTTTAGTTGCTATGGTTCTGCCACAACGTAATACCATTACTGGAATTGTAAATAGATGAGAGCAAACAAAAGCAAGCAAGAGAGAAAACTGAGTAAAAGAAATATTTTATATAAGAAGAGAATGTTCCCCATCATGAGAGTATGAATTCATTATTTTAACCTGATTGCAATTTCATTTCTTAGGCCAATTTAACTGAACTGAAGTCATTTGGTTCTCCACCTGGAGCTGTCACAAATGTTACTGCAGCTGTTATGGTTCTCCTTGCCCCAGGAGGAAAAGTTCCCAAAGACCGCAGTTGGAAGGCTGCTAAGGTAGATGAAGCTGTATTTCTCTTAGAAGTAAAACCCAGTGATTTGTATTTACCTGAAACTTTGTTGTAATTTTCAGATTGTCATGGCAAAAGTTGATGCATTCTTAGATGCACTTATAAATTATGACAAGGAAAATATTCATCCTGATGTCACTAAAGCTATCCAGCCTTATTTAAAAAACACTGAATTTGAACCAGAATTTGTTCGAAGCAAATCTGCTGCTGCTGCTGGTAAAAATGCAGCAAAATTGTTATCAATTGCAAAGTTGTTAATTTATTTTAATTTATTTTCTAAGTAATAGGATACTTTGTTTTTCAAAAGGTTGCTTTTTTATTTCACCAAGTTTATATACTTTTTCTCTCTTTTGAAATTTCTTTTACTCTCTTAGGTCTTTGCGCATGGGTAATAAATATAATAAAGTTTTATGAAGTTTATTGTGATGTAGAACCAAAGAGACGTGCTTTAGCCCTTGCTAATGCAGAACTAGCTGCTGCTCAGGATAAATTGGAAGTTATCAAAAGGAAAGTTGCTGTGAGTTGAATCAATCTTTCATAATCATTTTTAAAATTTCCAACTGCATAATAATAAAATTGCATAATAGGAGTACTTTAACCTATGCAAAATCACAAAATTACAATCATCGCAAAATAGCCAATAAATATTTTTTAAATTTAAAAACAGACTGTAAACATTCACTACAATCTGCTTCTAACTAGCAGAGATGCCACTCACAATCTCTTTTTACCATTCTTATAATTACTCTCTAGCAACATGCTAGAGAGTGTTTCTAGTTATAGGTTTTATGTATCTGTAAGTTACTCTGTAATTATGTATTTATATACATTTTGTCATAATCAGTGTATTCTTGCCTTAAATTATCATTAAAATAATACAAATAAATAAATAAAATAAAATAAAAGAAAAAAAATTAACAGAAAAATTTGCAAATTTTCAGTCCCTGGAAGAGCAACTTGCAAAACTTACAGCAGATTTTGAGCAAGCTACAGAAGAGAAGATGCGCTGCCAAAAAGAGGCAGATGCTACCAATGCCACTATTCAGTTGGCCAACAGACTTGTTGGAGGCTTAGCCTCCGAAAATGTCCGATGGGCTGAAGCTGTTGCAGAGTGAGATCACTTTTGCATTAATGCTATATTTAATACCAGATTTAGGCTGGTGTAACAAATTCTGCTGCATTATTCATCAAACTATGTTGATCCCTAATTTGTTGTGTTAATTATAATTTATTTATTGACAAAATATTTTATTATTAAGTACTATTTTTTTAACAAGATCATTTTTATTAAAACTGATCTGAAAATTACTTTTTGCATTATGACCTTCAATATTGTAATGTACATTACTCTGCAAGAGATTTTAAAATATTTCAGAGAATCAATTCAGAAAGATAATTAATACAGTAACACTCAGTTGCATGTTCTTGCATAACATGAAATTCACCTTAACATGAACAAATTAGGATTCTGACAAGGAATCAGTAATATTGATATAATCAAATTCAGATAAAAGGATAATAATGAGAAACTATGAATTTTTGTAACACAAACACACATTATTTCTGTCTCTTGGAATTTGTGTTAACGAGGGTTTACTCTATCAGAAATGAGAATAAAGCTACAGCCTTCAGTTAATAAAATGACAAACTATCAGTTAATAAAATGAATTATTGAAAAATTATTCATTTTATTAACTGAAGAATTTGAATTCCCAGTTAAGTTCTATTTCAATTATTGAAGTGAGAAACAATATGTAAGTCAAATGCCAAAAGTTGGCATTGCATCAGTCTCCATATTCCTGAAGGTCATTCCTGGCTGTGTTTTTGTACTGTAGAATTGTTGTCTGAAAGTACAATATTCATTTCTCTCCCCCAGGTATATGAAACAAGGCAAAACTCTTCCGGGTGATGTATTACTTGTGACTGCGTTTATATCATATGTTGGATGCTTCAAGAAGCAATTTCGTTTGGACCTACTCAATAAATTTTGGCTACCTAATCTCAAATCTCTGGATGTAAGTATAATACAAAGCTGATCATCTTGAATACAAACTAATATTATTTTCATTAAGATGCTTTGGGTCTTATCAGTTTTTGAGTCTAGTTTAAATTACAGTTTGTTAAAAAAAATGATTTTTTAACAAGAAAATAAATATTATCTTTATATAAGGTAATAAAATTAATATAATAAATAATTAAATAAAAATTAATGATTCAAATGAATATTTTTAAAAAATCTCTGAAAACTAATCAAATACAATTAAAATTAATATTGAAAAAAATAAATCACAAATAACATAAATCACATGTAACAAATTAGAATGTTGTTCCATTAATAGTCAGGAATGCAAAAATCCCTGAGAAAGAAAAGTGTAATTGCCAGTCTGGATAGACAAGGTCACTAAAGCTGAAGAGCAATAGCTGCTTCATCCCTGAAGGGTCATAGGTATGAATCCCGCCCGGAGCATGGATGTTTGTATGTGTCTATATACAAATTCCTCTACCATTACCTTACCCCCAATGTCCAATGTTATGTACTGTGATTGCAATATGACATTGTTATTGAAAAGTGGCCTTAAATAAAAAATAAAGAAAGAAAGAAAAAAAAAAAAAAGTAAGTAAGAAGAAGAAGGAAAGTGTAATTGATAGGGTTTATTGTGTTTTAGCCTCCAATTCCAATCACTGAAGGTTTAGACCCATTGTCTCTTCTCACTGATGATGCACAAATGGCTGTTTGGAATAATGAGGGGCTGCCAAGTGATAGAATGTCCCTAGAAAATGCCACTATTCTGTCCAACTCCGATCGATGGCCTCTTATGATAGACCCCCAGGTAAGTGTAAGAATGTTTATTTTAAATTTTCATCTGAGATTTACATACCTCTTTTAGAACTTATACGATCACATCTTTGACAATAGTATTATGCTACAGCGCAAGCCTCTCTCCTCCCACCTTTTCCTGAAGCTTTCATTTATTACACTCAAAGAATCGTTACCATAGTTTCTGCAGTGGCTCTCTTGGGAAGACCTAGGGTTCAAGTTCCAATGGTGGCAAATTTTCAACACAGGCAGTATAATTAGTATTCAGCCAGCCACTTTTTGGTGGAGAATTTTAGCAACTATGGCTTTATTCTGATCAGTAGTTTTCCATTGTTTCTGTGACCAATAATGAAGCAATACATTAGCCTGTAACATTTTACTAAATAAAAGTTCATCAATTGTTTGAATTTAATTGAAAGATATGAAAATGTCCTCTGTTCTAGCTTCAAGGTGTAAAATGGATCAAAGAAAAATATGGTGAAAAATTAATTGTGATTCGTTTAGGTCAAAAAGGGTTTCTGGATACAATTGAGAAGGCTTTATCATCTGGAGCAATTATGCTGTTTGAAAATATAGAAGAAAACACTGATCCGGTTTTAGATCCATTGTTGGGAAGAAATCTCATTAAAAAAGGAAGGCAAGTTGTTATTAACCTCTGCTTTGGGCATGGTAGCACTAGTGACTTAAATTTTACAACTAGCTACAATTATAGTTCCCATACCGTACAACTCAAGGTTTAATTTCATTTAAATTTTATGGGCCAAATTATGACCACCCCAAAAATATTATTTTTCCTGTAAGAAAATAATAACAAATCCACAGAAAGCAACATTTTTCTGCAATACAAAAACCTCTCAATATTATTTGAGTTTTCAAGATAAATATATAGAACTTTTTCCTCCTAGAGCAATCAAAATTGGTGACAAAGAAGTGGAGTACAATCCTTCCTTTAAATTAATTTTACACACAAAATTAGCAAATCCTCATTATAAACCTGAAATGCAAGCTCAAACTACTCTTATAAACTTTACTGTTACAAGAGATGGTCTTGAAGATCAGTTATTGGCAGAAGTTGTTAAGGCTGAAAGACCAGATTTAGAAGAGTTGAAGGTAATGAAAGAAAATTATATATTAGAAAAAATGCAGTAGTTAAATAACATTAACCATTGAATCAAGTGCCTTTGGGATTTCAATTATCATTTTTTATCAATATTTTAAGGAAAAATGCTGAGGCAATAAAAAGAAAATTTCAATTTGAATATACTGTATCTTCTGTTCCAAGGCTGAGCTGACTAAACAACAAAATGATTTCAAAATTATGTTGAAAACGCTTGAGGATGATCTCCTCTCCCGGCTCTCATCTGCTGGAGGGAACATTCTTGGAGATACTGCTCTTGTAGAGAATCTGGAGACAACCAAACGAACAGCTGCTGAAGTAGAGCAGAAGGTGGCAGAAGCAAAAATTACCTCTACTGAAATTGACCAAGCCAGAGAAATTTATCGTCCTGCTGCTGCTAGAGCATCTCTTTTATATTTCATTCTAAATGATCTCAACACAATTAACCCGATCTACCAATTTTCATTAAAGGTTTGCATTCTTGGTACTAGTAAGGATTGATTGAGAAGTGTTTAATAATATTTTATATTTCTTTTTTAAATAGGCATTCAGTGTTGTTTTCCAAAAGGCTATCGAGAAAGCTGTTCCTGCAAATGATGTGAATACAAGAGTATTAAATTTAATTGATTGCATTACTTACTCAGTTTTTACATACACATCAAGAGGGTTGTTCGAATGTGACAAATTAATATTTGCTACCCAAATGACATTTCAGGTAAACATATTTTTTCACAACTTCCTTTTGTTACATCTTTATCCTAACATTTACCTAATATTTTAATTACTAATTGTTTTAAAAAGATATTTTCAGTGAAATTCATGAAATTAATTTATTAGCTTTTAACATTAATTATTACTCTTGCAAAATACCTCCAGTGTGGAAAAAATGCAATAATTATGAACTGCTTTAATTGTTTTCATTGTACTATCTTTCATTTTAATATAATACATCTTTGAAGAATGAATTTATTCTGAATTATTTTACAGATACTATTGACCAGTGGAGAAGTTCAACCATCAGAATTAGATTTTCTTCTTCGTTTCCCAGTAATTCCTCATGTCATTAGCCCAGTTGATTTCTTGTCTAATACTAACTGGGGAGGAGTTCGAAGTTTATCTTCTAAAGATGAATGGAGGTGAGATTTATCAGAGAAGTCTTTTTGTAAAACCTTGTGTATTTCTTGGTGAATATAATGAAACAGGGGCTTGGAACAAGTAAGTAGAGTCAAAGGTTGCAGAATCTGCATAAGGTATGGGTGTATTCTCCATGTGTGTGTAGTAAGGTTGAGTTCTCATGACATCATATACCCCACTTGTATCATCTTCCAATTTATAGTCATTCATCACTCATCACCGTTCACCTCTTGGTTATCACTCCTACCATCATCTTCATAACAAAAATAGAAATGCTGTGATCTGAAGCATCGCAGGCCAATGGATCAAATCATATTTAGCAAACTGCTACTGTGAAAGTTTCTTCTTTTTCTTTTTCTACTTCTTCCTTCCCTTCTTCATTATTTTCTTGTGATGTAGTCAAAGATTCAACAATGTCACTCTCTGTGAGGCAGTGACTTGTTTCAGTCTCAGCATCAATAGTAGCATAATCATCAAATGTTCGCATAATCATAGCATAATCGCCAATTGTTCTTACAGTTGAAAATTGCTGAAACTTAAGTTGATTTTGTGTCATACACACATGCTACATAAACCTGCTTTATTTCACTATTTTTTTCTATCTCTACTTTCTGTTCTATCTTGAACTGTCTCCTATTCTTATTTTTCATTGCAATCAAAACGGGTTGTTTATTTTTATGAATACCACTTACCCCTTACTATGAACGCACTTAGTAAACTGTAACCACCACAACACATGTATTTTCTACCATTACCAAGAAATGAAATCTTTTTTTTTTTTTTTTTTTTTTTTTTTTTTTTTTTTTTTTTTTTTTTTTTTTTTTTTTTTCCAGAGGTCTTGATCGTGATATTGAAGTTCAAGCAAAAAGATGGAAAAAGTTTGTGGAGTCTGATTGTCCAGAAAAAGAGAAATTCCCACAAGAATGGAAAAATAAAACTGCATTACAACGATTATGTATGCTTCGTGCTTTGAGACCTGATAGGATGACATATGCTGTATTGTAAGTTATTTTGACGTTTTAATTTGGGATCTGTTGAATAAAAATGGATTCATGTTATCCATGTAATTTGCATTACAGAGCTTTTATAGAGGAAAATTTAGGCACAAAATATGTTGAGGGAAGAGCAATTGAATTTGCTAAATCATTTGAGGAAACAAGTTCTTCTACGCCTATATTCTTTATCTTAAGTCCTGGAGTGGATCCATTGAAGGTAATTTCATGAGAATAAACCTTATTTCTCTGAAAGTTGTGCATTAGATTCATACAAGCATTAAGAAAACAGACTATGACATAAGCACACTTGTAGTTGTTACTATTTTTAACTTTCCATTGTTGAGTTCATTGCTTTGTCCTCTTCAAAGTTACTCTCATACATTCCAGTGTACCTCTTCTCCTTTGTGGCTCCCACTGAAAACTACATTGTGTTATTTTGATTCATCACAATCAGTTTTCAACATTTTAATATTGTAACTGATTGAGAGTTAAAATATCATTTGTACACTGAAAATGTTATTATCAATTTCATACCCACTATAATGTGTGCTCATGTATACTTGTGAACTATTCTACAAATTCATGAGTATCCATAATACTTGATATCCATGATAATGATACCAGTATCCATGAGGTCATGGAATAGAGCATGTATGAATACATAAATAATTTAATTTAATTTAGGTGTTAATCGTGTTCTCAAAGACCTGATATTTTCAGAGTGGAATAATTTCTATTGAATGAAGAGTATATATTGAATAAAGAGTTCTATTGAATAAATGAATATAATATTTGAATGAAGACCTTCAAATACATAGAAATAGGAAGAAAGAATCACAAAAAACAGTTACTGCAGCAAAAAATTTTTCTTCTGTAGGATTTAAATTCATGGTTCACAAGCATACATGTATGCATTTCTTATAATGTAACAGAGACTCCATTAACTAAAGAGGTTGTACTGCTAACCAAATCAAACAATGGCTATCTCAGTTAATAGAAAGTAAACAAGGAATACATTAACATCTGTTATCTCTTTCAATTGTAATAGTTTCAATAAGGTCAGAAAACTATTACAAAGATGTAAATTTGACAATCAAATATGTAGTCTACATGTTTATATCTATAGTTAAATAATGGGATCTTCAGATTTTAATAGTATTGCTAGGCAGTGTAATCAAAATAATGCTTAAAAATAAAGCTTATCATTTTTATTGCACTCAAAATGAACCAAAACAGAGTGCAATATTTGACTCCAGACTTTCCTACAGGACAAATGTAAGCTTTGTAGTCAAATATTACACCTGTGACAGTTTATTGATCTTTTACAATTTAGATGGTACATTTTAGTAATTATATAAATGGATGAGAGGGATAATTTATGAATGAGACACCTATTTTTATTCTGAATTAAGCTAAAATTAGACACCAAGTTTTGGTTAATGTGGACTATGCCCTCATTGATGTAATGTCTTAGAAACTGTATCTTGGCAAGTTTTGTTGGAATTGTCCCTACCTTCCAAATACTTAATATTTTTTTCTTTGGTTGACATCTTTTAATGATTTAGACAGAATTCATCCTGACCAAACATCTTGTTTTGTAGAATTCAGAGAGTACCTTGAATTAGTTAATGGAGTCCCTGCTGAAGATGAATTCCAAAATCTAATGGAACAGTATGAGAATTTTGAAATCACTAAAGCATTGTTTACTTTTTCTTTGAGGATGTTGAATCTCTTGGCTCCAAAATGGGCTACAGTATGGATTTGAAGAACTTCCATAATGTATCCTTGGGGCAGGGCCAGGAGGCTGTGGCCGAAGAGGCCATGGACACAGGGGCTACAAATGGCCACTGGGTTGTTCTTCAGGTGAGGAGTACTGCTTTGAACTATTCGGGACAAAATTAAATGTTTTTTTTTAATAGATTAATTTCAGAGACCAGACAGTGCTGCTGATAATGTTCATCTAATACATTTGTTAAAATAATGGAAATTAATATACTCAATAGGGATAGTGGTTATTGTAGCAAGTTTGTAACTTCTTTAATCTTTCCCATTGTATTTAAAATGCATTGCTTTCTTCCACTTGTTAACAATTTTGATTAGTATAATTTTAGGATTAGGAAGTAGCGAGGTGGAATAATTCCAGAAAATCCCTTTTAATTGCATAAAAATATTATTTTTATGTATAATTTCCATAGATCAATTCTCCAAGAGAGAAATTATTAGTTTTTGATAGCCGAAGTGCAATACTAATAATTTAAGTTTTTTTTGTGATACTGATAAATTTTCTAAATTATGGAAAGATACTGTGTTGATGGTAGGCCTTGATCTGGTTGCAGAGTGACTTTTGTCACTGTTCAATTAATTTTCTTTTTCCACTGAAAAATCTTTTAATAGTTGAGCTTCATCTATGCTGAAAATCACTAATAATAATATTGACACTTTTTGTCTAAATCTTTTTTCAACAATGATGCATCTTCAATGGTGTAGACCAGGGTTGCCCAACTGGAGGCCGCATGCGCCCCATAATGCCATTTATTGTGGCCAGTGAAAAGTTATTAGTCAAAAGTTAAAGTCCCATTCATCCATATTGGGTGAGAATGTTGTGTGCCTAGTACATGAGTTATGCCAGGGTCTACACTCCCTTCAATGTAAAAATAGGATGGTTTATATTAAGGAACTTTTTTAAATTAAATTCATATATTCAAAATCATCTTAATGTGTTTCACAGCATTATGCAGGCTACACACGCATTGTTCCATTCCCCCCCTCTAATTTCAGAGCAGCCGGGGAAAAGTGCTGAGATCAACAATACAGGAAAATCGGACATGGATCACCCGAGAAATGAAAATATGGCCTGCAACCATATTAAAGAGTTTAGTTGTGGCCCTTGAAGTCTTGCGAATTGGACACCCCTGGTGTACACCACCAAGACTTCTTGAATAAATTCAATGATATCATTAATTTTGTATTGTATGATATGTAAATGGCTACACCTGAACATTTGGCTGCACAAATGTCACCAATTTCTATCCTCTGTAAGCCCAGTGTACACGTTTCCTCTCATGTACATCACAGATTCCCACACGATCCACAAATGTTTCCAAAAGTCCCCTCATTTTTTTAATGTTCCCTGTCCCCAAAAGTATTCTCAAATATTCCCCAAACGTTTCCAAATAAAAGTTCCCCCATATGTTTTCCCAAAAGATCTCTCAGTGTAGTGCTCCGTGGAGTGATGCAGCTATCGTTGCATGCTGCCAGTGAGAATTTCACATTTCACTTTTCATCTGGTTCAAGCTGATTTTCCCCACTGTGCTTATAGCAGTTTCACTTCAAAAAATAAACCAGCTAGTTTTGACAATTTACTGCATATGTCAGGCTGTGTGTTGCTTCATATTTTTATTCATGCAATACTAAAAGTCAAATTCTCTCATGTAGAACATCCATCTGGTTAAAAAATGGCTGCCTTCTCTGGAGAAGAAGTTGGAAATCTATGGTCACAGTGCTCATGAAAATTTTCGAATGTTCATGAGTGCCCAACCAGCCTCAACTCCATCTGCCCACATCATCCCGCAGGTACAAGAGTTCACATAAACCTTTTTTGAAATTGTATCAATATTGAAACCAAATTAAAACTTTCTTGGATTTCAGGGAATTTTGGAATCATCGATCAAAATAACTAACGAACCTCCAACAGGAATGTTGGCAAATTTACATAAGGCGCTGAATAATTTTAATCAGGAAACTTTAGAAATGTGCAGTAAGGAAGGAGAATTTAAGTCTATTGTGTTTGCATTATGCTACTTTCATGCTGTTGTTGCTGAAAGACGTAAATTTGGGCCCCAAGGATGGAATAAAGTTTATCCATTTAATGTTGGTAAGTTTTTCTTTTAAAAATTAATGTCCATGTCTATTGCGTTCTTCTAAAAGACTTCTTCAATAAATCTTCTTTTTCTCTCTGACTTTCTCTCGCCTTTGTCAGGTGACCTCAACATTAGTGTCAGTGTTTTATTTAATTATCTTGAAGCAAATCCCAAAGTGCCTTGGGAAGACTTGAGATATTTGTTCGGAGAAATTATGTATGGAGGTCACATCACAGATGACTGGGATAGAAAACTATGTATTTCTTACTTAGAAGAACTTATGCAGCCAGGATTGGTAAGCGAATGCCACTCAAATTTATTTTGAAATTAGGTCATTTCTGTGAAAAAAATTCTTCAGAGAAATTAATTTCAATTTGTATTTCAATCAAAATGTAGTGTAACTATTTTGTTGTATATTTGTAGTTTTACTAAAGAGGCAAGAATTTAGGTACCTATTAGAGTACAGCAGTAAAACAGTGATGAATATTTTGCCATAAAACTTCAAATGAAATTCTGAAAAAAATTAAGTATCTTTAAAGTGGAGCTTTGAAATTTTCCTAGGAGGACAAAGACATTTCTAGAAAAATAAAGTAGTAAATATAAATGACACTTGAGTTTGTGTAACACTTCTTACTAATTTATTTCTTGTTTTCCAATCAGTCTTGCCATTCACATTGGCTCATGACAACAACTATTACCACTGCAGCAACTGACCAAGAGGTCTTTGGATTTGAATCCTCATGATTGCAGATTTGTGACTCTAGCTACAAAGCTAGGTTGAATTTAGTTGTTCTCTGAAGAAGAATTGTAGCAGATGTCTGCTTTAATTGGTATTTTTAGTGGTTTCTTTGATCAATAACAGGCATGTGCCAGAGCAGTTCTCTAACAAATAGGCTATGGACCACCCACATTTTTTTCCTTCCTCATCCTCCTCCACATCTCTCTTCTTATACTTTCATGCACAACTTAGAGCTTATTCCAACTGGGATAGAGCCCTGCTCGTAGGTACCTGGAAGAAGGAAATCCCTGGAAACCAACTTGTTAGGTCAGCATTAGATTTTATATTCTAGAAAGGTCCACCACCACCTCTTGTGATACAACATTCACTACTACTCTTTACAAGACTAACAACCATATTAGTTGATGTACCCAAAAACACAAAATAATCAATCATTCTTATTCACTAATATGTAATTTTGATGTTAAGGTTGATGGTGAAGTGATGTTGGCTCCTGGATTCCAATCACCTCCAAACACAGATTTTCTCGGTTACCATACTTACATTGGTATTTATGTTTATGATAATTGTTCTCATTTATATAATTTTCACTGCAAATCTATTTTATTCATTAATTACATATTTTATTAAACAGATGAGGTAATGCCTCCAGAATCACCTTATCTTTATGGTCTTCATCCAAATGCGGAAATTGGATTTCTGACTACGACTGCTGAGAACTTGTTCCGCACAGTATTTGAGATGCAGCCTCGAGATGCTGGTGCCTCTGGAGGGGCTACAGTCACAAGGGAAGATAAGGTGAATGCTTTGTGCTATCCATCTTCATTTTATTTTCATTTATACAAATTGAAGCATCTATTTATTTAGTAAGTTTCAAGGATGTGTCATAATCTCTTCTAATTTGACATTGATTTTCAAAATTAATGATATATCCATTCATTCCATTTTAATGAAAGAGAGAACAAAGCCTCAGCAGTTATTAATCATACCTACATCTAAACCAATCCTTGAATGTAACTGTTGAATCGACATTCTAAATAAGTGAAAATGACTTTAGGATTTAATTGCAGGATTATTAGATATTTTGGTGCCTAGCAACAATGATTTAGTATTCCAGATTCTCTCACTTTCCATGCTAGCGTATCTGCATGGCAGCTTGTATGTTGGTAACTTGTTTCCAGACCACACCAGTGATGTAATGTAGCATGAAATAGGGATGTTTGCAAACACTTTAAATGAACTTTCTATCTAAACATTAAGAAATATGAATATGCAATCATTTTATTTCATTATATTTATTTTATTTTAGTAGATACAATTTATAAAATTCAATGGTTTTGCTATATTATTAAAAGTAATTTCTCATTTGTATGTTATAGGTAAATTCTCAAAAAAGTATATTTTGGCTCATAAAATGTATCTGGAATTGTTAATTTATATTTTCCTAATTAGACATGTTTGTGGTCTTGAAATTATGGAGGAAAACATGTCATCTATATTTTACAAGTACAATACAATGTATCTCAGCTCCATACTCTTGAGGCTTAGCTTTCTCTCTTACTACTCTTTTCAATCCCGACATCGTTAGCTGAGTTGCTTAACTATGCTCCATCAAGTCACGGAGGTTAAGCAATTTGAGATACCATGGATTCCTCGATAGGTGACCGTCTGAGAATCCAGTTAATAATGCCTTGAGCCTCTGGCCAAAGGAATAAAAGGCACTGACTGTATGTGGCCATCAGTGCCTTTTATCAGTGCAAAGCATGAAATGCTACAGTACAAGTAGTAGTGTAAATTGCAAATAATGCATCAGCGCAAACATGAATTAAATATGTTGATGAAATCCTCCAAAGGGGATTAGAATTTTCTGAAAGCCTAAAGTTTTTCTTACTAAATGCCTTTTTAATAATGCAATTGGACTTAGAGGCAAATAACAATCATCAAAATTGTGAATTAATTCTGATGAAACAGGGCAGGGTGATAGTGAAACTAGTAGAGTGGGACGGAATAGGAAGGGACACACTTGAGCAGAGGAGTACATTAGTGGAGCATAAATGAAATTACTTCCATTTTGCACCATAGATAGAATTTATCCTTTGTCTTGTCTAATTAACGAGTGTAATAAAGAAATGCTTGGTCAACATGACTTCGATGGTATTTCACAACTTCAGTGGTGTAATGATTAGTACATAGGACTGTTATGCCCAAGGTCATAGTTTCAAACCCAATTGAAGCAGTTGAGGGAAAAATCCTTGAACGCCTCTTGGACCCCCCAACTAATGTGTAGACCTTTCATCAAAGCAGTAGTAAAGCACTGTCCCATGTTGTAGATACTGTATGTTAAAGATCCTCAAGCCAAAAAGAAGTCTATAAGCTACATTCAAATGATTTGTTTTGTCATCTGAGTTATTCCTTCTTTGTATGCTAGAAGACAAAAGGAGCATAGCTGAAATTTATACAGAGAAGACTAGAAGACAAAAGGAGCATAGCTGAAATTTACAGGCAGAAGAGCAGCCTGATGGCCTTAGTCAATGTAAAATAAGGCATAATTGAATTGAATTGAATGTTGAATTACTTCTGCCAATTACATAATAAATAGCATGCTATGGTACTTGTAAAATACATGCTATGGTATTTGTAAAATAACTCCCTGGAAAGCTAGGTATTGCTAGTCATCAAATTACATTAACTGATTTTCATACAGACATTTCAAATACATGTAAAAATTTCTCAACATTAATAGTAACATTAAATTCAGTTAACTGTCCAGGAAACTTCTTTTTGTTTGAAGCACGTTTCCAATTTAAAATATGTAAATTGAATTGAAATTGTCTTTTATTTTAAAATTTGGAATTATTTGAGCAGTATGAATTGTAAAGTGAAATTTTATTTTCCAGGTCAAACAAATTGTTGATGAAATTTTAGAAAAACTTCCTGATCAATTTAACATGGTTGAAATAATGGGAAAAGTTGAAGAACGTACACCGTATGTGATAGTAGCCTTTCAAGAATGTGAACGAATGAATATATTGACAGGAGAAATGAAGAGATCACTCAAAGAACTGGACTTAGGTCTTAAGGTAAGTTGTTATTCTGGAAAGATATTAGTATCTTGTCCACATCATTTGTCATTTTAATAAAAGGTAATATCATGGTTTGCAGAGCTAATTTAAGTTTGATGCAATCAGATGTTTGTCAAAAATTTTTACTTCACTTCTAAGTGCTCATTTGAATCTGAGGTAGGATGTGAAGTGTTAATTCTATCCCTTTCTTTGCAATGTCCTTCCCTTTCCTACCAGTGTACTCTTTTATCGGTAAATTTAATAATGCTAGAAAAATTATATTGCAGAGACTAACCAGTATTTGCTATGTATCTGCTAAAAACATATGGAATACTTATCCCAAGTATATGGTCTCTTGATTATCTATTGGTGTTATTCAATATATTTGAATTTATTATCACTAATGTGCGTATGTGAATGGCTTTCTCAGCCACCTCCCATTTTCCCCTGAAATATATGCCTTTTGCTCAATTTTAATCATATGCTGTTCAAATTGTTACAGCTTGTTTTTATTTGTGTTTTTTTTTAAATGTAACAATGCAGATTTTTTTAGTAACAAGTAAAATTATAATGGTATAATATTTACTTCAAATTTCTTCTCATGCTATTTGTGCTAAATATGTGTAATACAATTTATTTGGTAAGTAATACTTATTCCAGGGAGAATTAACCATTACATCAACAATGGAAGAGCTTGAAAATGCCTTATTTTTGGATCAAGTACCTGGTATATGGTCTGTGAGGGCATATCCTTCCCTCTTGGGTCTAACGTCTTGGTTTGCAGATCTTGTTCTGAGGATCAAAGAACTTGAAATCTGGTCTTCTGATTTTGTGGTGTGTTTTTCACCAGTCTATATACATTATCTTGATTTGTGTGATATTTAGATACAAATTTTGAATCTGTACATAGATCTGAAAACACCAAAAAAATTTTGTTGTTCTTGATTTTAGCTTCCTGGTTCAGTTTGGTTATCAGGATTTTTCAACCCACAGTCTTTCTTAACAGCTATTATGCAATCAACAGCTCGCAAAAATGAACTCCCTCTGGATAGAATGTGCCTTCAATGTGATGTTACTAAAAAGCAGAAAGAAGAATTCAGGTGAGTGTGCTTTACTTTCTTAGATATATCATGCAAGAAAGATGATTATGTTCCAAGGTCAAAAATCAGTTGTTAATGTATAACAAAAATTATCAAAATTCATTATTCAAAATATGCTAGTTATATATCACTGATAACTAGGGTACTGAGTTTAGAAATAAAAAAACAAACAAATGTGTACATATACTCTATTTATTTATTTTTTCAAGTGTAGGTAAGAAAAAATATAAAATATGGAAAATATCAATTTATGGTATTGTTCTAAATTGGTTCATTTCAAACATAAAACAAACAAACATAAACATTTTCAAACATAAAACATCACTGATTAGCCTTTGTAATTGAGCTCAATTTATTTTAAATGAGTATCACATATTGATGCATCACATCCTAAGAAAATATTCTGATTAAGCCCAATCAGCCAGAATTTCATACATAGGTTCTGAATCCTGTGCAGTTTTACACTATTTTGATTCAGAAATTGACAATTTCAGGAACATAACAATTTCAGGCAAACTTGTATCTGAGATGTTCCTTTTCAAAATATATTGAAATATAATGTTTTGTTTAAGAAAGTTTGAGCAGTACCTTCTGAGGAATGCCACAATATATTGGCCAAAATGTCAGCAACAACAACAGAGACATCGCCCTGGATAGCCTAGACAATCAATATCTTAATGTTTTAGTGACTGAATAAAAGGAATTATTTCAGCAAATGTGGAGGAGGAAAAAAATAATCAATGTTACATAACATTAAGCTAAATCCCCCCTACACTTATATAATGCAACGTAATGTTGCCTAAAACCTTCTCCCCCTCTCTCTTTATTGCTTTGTAATTTATGGATGACCCCTTACGGGTTTTTAAGTTGCAATGAATTACTGTGTGTTACTGATTTTTTCCAGTGCTGCTCCTCGTGATGGTGCATACGTGCATGGGCTCTTCATGGAAGGAGCTCGGTGGGATATGCTCTCTGGCTTCATCACAGACTCCAGACCTAAAGAGCTGTTCCCATCTTTGCCAGTTATCAATGTTAAGGTAATAGTCATGTGAACTTGTACGTAAATTTTGTAAAGTTTTCCAAGAGATTTCTAAATGTGTAGCTTCAGAACTTTAGATTTCAGGTCCAGAAGGTGTCTAACGAAATGAACAAACTAGTCATTTACTTTTACTCCTTTGTCGATTACAGTTGTGGTTTCTATTCTGTTCAATGTGCACTACTGAGTTGCTTGCTAGTGGCAGTATATTTGTTTTACAGGCTTTAACTCAAGATAAACAAGATCTGAGGAATACATATGAATGCCCTCTCTACAAGACTCGGACTCGAGGACCAACCTATGTGTGGACATTTAATTTGAAAACTAAAGATAAACCATCAAAATGGACATTAGCAGGTGCTGCAATTTTATTGCAGATTTAAATATGAATGATAAGGTAATTAGAGAGCCTGCATTTGAGTTTTTCAAAAAGACTAAGTCTTAAGATTTTATTTGGGGAAGATGATCTCTCTGAATAATATGTCTTGAAGAGTAAGCAAATCTACTAGATAGAATTTGATGAGAGGGACATCTAAAGAGGAAGTATAATTTTTTATCAAATTTTAAAACTTATGACACCATATACCTTCTCTCTTTATTTTCTTTTATATCTGTTTTCATCCTACTGGAGAGAAGTGAAGGAAATTGAGTCTAGATGAGGAGACAAGATATTCACTATATTTGTTGTTTTCTTCCAAATGTTATTTCTTGGAAACTTATGATATTTTCAGTTAAATATTCAGTTATATGAAACTTTTGCTTTCGAAACTGGCTCACTCCAAGACTTACCAAAATTTACTTTCGTGTGAAATTTAAAGGAATGTACTTAGAGTCCACCTTGTTCGCAACTAAAATTTGCTGAACACATCCCATTCAAGTCAAACCATTTGTATACGTGAGAAGAATAAGGTACAGACATTTCTGTTTCAATTGTAAAATTTCTGTAAATTAAACGAGCTGGTTTTCATTGCAAATGTCTCACATATGTTAAATAAAGATAAAGGTGTATTCTTTTTAGTTTTCAGAGATAATGCTAGTTATTTAGATTTGTTGAAAAATTATTTTTTTAATTGTTATAGAATTCTTTATGGTGTGTTAAATATAGATAAAGATGTATTCTATTTATTTGATAGGGATGATATTGAAAATGAGTTAGAAATGTTTTAAAAATGTTATTTCTTGAAAAGTTATGTTATATATTGCTATATAAATAGTTAATATATGGTACGTTATCTGATATATTCTATTTATTTGGTAGAGATGGTAATGACGATGAATTAGAAATGTTTTAAAAATGTTATTTGTAAAAAAAAAAATGTTTTGCATAGTTAAAGGAATAGTTAATATATGTTAAATAAAGATAAAGATATATTAATTTAATTAGTAGAGAGGATAATGCAGATAAATTAGAAATAAATTTAAAATGTTACTTGTTGAAAGATTAAATTATGTATAATTAAATTTAAAATCTATTGTGTAAAAGAATGGTCCAGACTGCATATTCGGCTGCTCTAGATACAAAATACTTCAAATTAAAGGATTTCTTGTCAGAATAGCCAACTTATGAAACTACCATTCCAATCAACTTTCTTGGTTTTGTTTCGTTTGTTATCATCCACTCTTAGCATGGTTGTCTTTACAGTACGATAATGTATGCCTTGTTTTTTGTTAGAATTAAACAATATTTTCATCTATAAATGAATATTAACTTGGTATACAATTAAGATTATAAAGAGTTTCATTTTCAATAAGTGCAAGCATGAGAGATGTTAAAGAGTACTTGGTGCAAATTAAAATTACAAGTTATCTGTGGTTAGACTTCTGTGTTAATATTCCTTTTGTGATGGTAGTATTATCATATTCTACATGGTTTCACTGTTCTTCATTCTTCACTGTTAATACTACTGATTTATATTGAAAAAATTAATACTTCAGTTATTTAAAATTATTAAATTTATGCATGTATGGTAATTTTTAAGTGACTAAAAGAGTTGTTCCTAACAATCCATTGATATCAATATTAATGCAAATGCATCCATTTCGTTTAGCTGTTAAATTATTCAAGGGCTTTTAACAGTACGTAATTCTTAAAAAAAGTTAGAAATTCATCATTAATAGGCCTATACTTAATTGATAATAAATGATGTGCTGATGACTGATGTATAAGTAAAAAAATGTGGGGTTTGTCTATTCAGATAAACCTCAAATGGAATGTCAAATTAAATGAATCAAACCCAAAATTAAGTTAATTGTGTTCAGAATTCTTTCAAATTCAGTCAGATTTCTCATTGCACTTACTGTATAGTTTGCGAGTGTTAATTCTTACCAGAAATATGACATAATATTCTGGGAGGAAACATTCTATAGACCCCAGACTTTTAGATTACAGAAAAGAATTACAAATAATAAGCAAATCCTATCCATGTGATTCTTGTAAGCTGCTCTTTATTAAGCTAGGAATTCTACTATTGCCTTGCTTTTTGATTTATGAACCAATGCATTTTTTTGTCAAAAATGTCTCACTTAGGATGGGAATATATTTTCAGTGAATACAGAACATTAGTTACAAATCTTTTTTTATATAGAATATATTTATAGAGATATTTAACACTTGACATAGTAATTATATACATCAGGTGCAAGTATCCACAGCTTGCTACAAAACATTTACATGTAATACAGGTATATTATTTTATAACTCATTTCCAGATGACATTAAATTATTAAAACCAATACAAAACTTTAATTCCTAAGTAAAATCTATTCTGCTGCGTAACTGTTTATGTACCTGTAGCAACTATATTAACCAACAAAGAGGAAAAAATATTGATTTTAAAAATGATAATTAATGTGCTAGTTAACATTTGTACTTTATAATTTTAAAAATGGTTAAGGATGTTGAGCAGGTCAAGATGTTTGAAGGTCGTAAAGCCTTAGAAGAAGAATTTTAACTCTTATGTGACTGATTTAATTTTTTTTCGGAATTTTGAAATACAACTTTGTATTTAAGTTACTTTTTAGTTACTATTTCATTATTGATTACTAAAAATTGTTGTTAATGTTTAATATTTTAGAAACTGTTAGTGGGACATATCTGTCCCATTGGACTTTCTGGGTTCGATGGAAAATAGTAATACTGAAAAGAAAATATGTGTTTCTATACTTTTAATTATGAAATAATACAATAAACAAAAAGTGGTAATAATTAAATTTATGTTAAATAAAATTTGGAAAGGCAGGGGTTGATGAAATGGGTTACTTTTCATTCCTGGCACATTGTGTCTCTTCATTTCTCTTTTTGCTACACCCCTACTGCTTCCTTGTAACTGCAAAAAATGTGTATCGCCATAAATGCAGATAAAATTCCAGAAATCAATTTAGGATGCAATATAATTTATTAAATAATTAAAAAGGAATATTAAAACAACATAAAATGCTCAGAAAAAAACAACAACTTCAAATGTAATTTTTTCAAATAATTCAAAAAATCTCTTGCAACCATCCATTTGAAAAAAAAAAAAAAGAAATAGCAGCAATATAATTAACTAAATAATTGAAAACAAACAAAACGAAACCTTGCAACAAAAGAATACAAACAGGAAAAAATAAAACTGTCCAAATGAGCAACCCAATATACACCTTCTTGTAACAACGATAATTAAATACAAAATTCTTGGAATCATTTGTAACAGAGAATTAGTATTCAGTACACATACTCTCCACAAGAGTGCAGAATGCACCAATAGAGGTTTACATGTATCTGAGAAAACTTTTTGAAGAATTTAATCAGGTGGGATACATATGTCCCACTGGTCACAAAAGGGTTAAAAGTCCCAATATGCCTATAACAATTATTGTTCCTCAGTATCTGGATCAATGGCCCCTTCTCAATCTGGTTTTGCATCCAGTTTCCCTGATAATTTTTAGCAAATGCTAATATGGCCCTTTGTTTTGCTTCTGGACGTACATGTAGCTCACTATCTGTGCATGTTTTCTTGAGCTCAATAGAATATATTTTTCAGTCATTGCTTGAAACCATTCTTAGACCATCTTACTCAGTTTCTAGAGGGGAATGGGGCAAGTTTCCCATACCCTACTCTAACTATGCCCAAGTATATGCCTTTAAGTCAGGGAGTGCAAATCGATAGGGGAGGTAACCAGAGGTCATCCCCTTTCTTAAAGAGCCTGAAGTCTCTTGCTGGAAAAATATCAAATTCTTCTCGTCAGTATAATTGTTAATGTTGACTAGGTACCGTCATTTATGATTTTCAAATTATGAAACGTTTAAACCAAAACAATCATTCCCGAAAGCATTCTATAACTCGTTATCAGTCTTGCGTGAGTGACGGTAGTGTTCGTTTGCACTCGTCAATTGCTCGATTCATCCCCTCGTGGAATTACGAAAGCCCCCTTCTACAGACACCTGCGAACCCACAGCCTGCGCTTAATCCGGTTCCCACCTCGCCGCGCTCGTCCTCGTCCTCGCGTGTCCTTCCGCCAGCTCAGCGCTCGACGCGAGGCCGGCGGCCGCGCCGGCGCCCCCGCCCACACGGCGAAGCGCCCGCCAGGTGGCGCAGCTGCAGCGCGCGGCCGCCGCGCCCGTCCCCCCCGCCTCCGCCGCCCCGGCGATTCCGGCCGGCTTCGCCTCGCCTCAGCACGACGCACGGCCTGCGGGTCCCCGCGGCTGCGCACCACCGACTCCTGCGGCCGGATGCGCTTTGCGTACAACGCGGAAGGGTTGTTCCTCTTTACAAGAAACCACGAACACACATGTATTACTTTTGGATGGGAAATTACCGTGCCCGACGGGAGTAACAGATTTATGACGAAAAATAGACATTGGCAGATTGTGGCATTGTTGAATTATCATGCAAAACACATTACGACGCATCAGTCTTCATTGTGCATAACTCGGAAATGTTGCGCCCTAGACACTCAGAAACAGTTTTTGTGTGTGTGTGTGTTTCTGTAAGTTATTTCTTATTTACCGTAATCTAAAAAATGATTCCTTTTTGGACGTTCTCTTACAGTTTTTGTTTGTCACGGTACTCCGTAACACGGTTTGCTAAAAACCTTGAAAGTTGAGTTTCAATGCGAAGCTATTTTCACTTTCAAAACGTTCATTTCAAGAGTTCTGTTTTTTAGATTATCTTTTGAACCCATCTATTACGTTTTTAAGGGTTTCGTTCTCTAGGGTACTCTAGCTTTTCAGAATTCCTGTTTCATCCGACAGAGAAGGCACTGCACTGTTAGCCGCCTTAATGTATATAAAAGTATTTCGTAATCAAAAAACAACATAATGGTATGGACTGCTTTTACATGGAACGGACTGGGTCCTCTGATCTAACTGTACCGATCATTGACGAAATGGTTATGTTCAGCTACTTGGAGACCACTTGCAGCCATTCATGGACTTCATGTTCCCAAACAACGATGGAATGTTATGAATGGCAATACCCCATCTCACCGGGCCACAAATGTTGGCGATTGGTTTGAAGAACATTCTGGACAATTCGAGCGAATGATTTGGCCACCCAGATGTCCCGTCGCAAATTTCATGGAACATAGGACTTCCACGATTTTTTTTGTATCAGACTGGTTAAACGAGCTCACAAGTATCGTAAAAGTCAAAATATGGAGCTTAAATTGTCAATTTGCGAGCCACAAAAGGTTTTGTGGAAATTTATATTCATCAGTGCAAAAAACATTCGAACGCTAGGCGTTTCCCAAAATGAAGTTCGGTCACCCACAACACATTGGTTAGCTTACACATCCGCTAGAATGCGTAATACGCATACTAGCGGGCTATGGCTTACTAGACGTATTCTACATGAAAAGACTTCCCATCTCCGACGCATTGGAGACTGGAATAGCGTGCAGGTCCAAGTTATAACCTAATACACTTTTTTGAACTCGTTCACCGTTTTTGCGTATGTTTTATTTTTTAGTCAAGAAAAAACTGCCTTTGAAAAACAGATGGATTAAAGAAATTGTTCACCCTGAGATTCTTTTTTCATTTCCTTAATTTGGTCATTCTGTGTTCAATAGAAAAGGACATGCCACCGGGCCTTTTATGATTTAGTTTTGTTTTCTTTGTAATTAGTAATAAACCTACAAGAGATAATCGAACTTGTTGCACACTCACATAATGTTTAAGATTGCATTTTTGTTTTGTGTTATACTAGAATGTTAAAATTAATTGCATTGTCCCTTTAACAAAGCAATGAATATGTAAACGTTTATTTACAAAAAACAACACAAACGAATAAATTATCCTGTCAATTAAATAGTAATATGGGCACTTCTTGATCTTCAAGACGAAACAAATCTGCGACCTCTGAATAGTTGCAAGTCTCCTAAAGTTACCTGTTCTGATCTGAAGATATCTCTTCTCTCGAAGAAATATTGCCGCCAGACAAATATCAACCTCAAATGAGGTTACGTACTTGGTTTCACTCCTTTCTAGATATTAACGACCATTAGGGGACAAAA